GTGTCCGGGTATCGGAGAGATGCGAAGGCTCAGGGACAGAGCAGCCGCGGGCTCTTGGCTGTTCAGCAGGCCACCCAACACAAGCTCGGGCAGAGCCTGGGTTGGGTGTCCTGCCCAGCACTTCGGCCCCGGGGGTTAGACCACCGTCAGAAAGTGGAGGAGCCTGAGGGCGGCGGGTGGAGCCGCACCGAGGCAGCAGCGACCCACGCTGTGGTGTTCACAGCCAGTCACACCGAGAGAACCACAAGTGCCCGAATAGGGCTGGGTGAGAAGCAGATACTCGCCAAACACTGCCTCTGGATCACAAGGTGCTTGTGCAGGAGACACAAAGAGCACGGGGACAGCAGGGGACACACCCGCTAGCAGGGCAGGGGCCCAGGCAAAAGCCACCATCAATGGAGGCGGGGCACTGGGGGTCGGCATAAGCAGGGCCAGAGGACACGGTGTGCCAAAGTCAAGCTGCACACCGGGCTCACAACCTCCCCGGCTCACACTTCCTGTCCCTGCTGACCAAGCGGCCGAGGAGGAGAATGGTCAAGCCTGGCTGTTGGAAAAGAGCATGTGGGAGAAGAGAAAGGTTACGCATGCAGTGGTAACACGCCGGGACCTGGGGCATGGTCAGGGGCAGCTAGAGGAGCACGCAGTGTGATGGCTTTGTTTTGCAGATTAACACCTGCCACACGCACCCCCACAGCAGAGGCACCAAATGGAGGGCAGACAGCATGATCTGGGGCCATCAGCGGCCATGCCATTACGGGCACCTGAACAGAGTGGCCCTGGTGGCAGGGGTGGAGGCCAGGCACAGGCTGTACTCACCCAACCCAATCAAGCGCCTGCATTGAGGAACATCCACGTGTCACCAACCGAGACCATGCTGAACCCCACGATGCCACCACCTGCCGCAACAAACAGCCACTTTGTGCCACGTCGGCCATCCCGGGCCCTTTTAGCTCACAAAGGACTGAATCGTGCCTCCCTCAATTCCTAAGTGAAGTCCTAACCCTGCAATGTGACTGCCACTGAAGAGTGGCTTCAGGTGGCATTGAAGGTTAAGGAGGCTATAGGGGATGGCCCCAACCAATAGAACAGCTGTCCCGGGAAGAGTGCCAGGCTCAGATCACGACACCCCGAGTCGGGCCCCCGGCGTGCTGAGTACTTTGAACTGCAGGACACTCCGGGAGGGCCTCAGAGGCAGTCTCCCTGGCTGTGTCCTGCCCCCCTGCCCCTCTGTCTCATGAGCACCAGAAGCAGGTCACGAAAACCACGAGTCCTCCCGTCCGAGGCAGCTCACAGGAACGGGACTCCTTTTCCGCACAGCAAGCCACAAAACCCAGGGAAGTCACTCTCCCTTCCCAGGGAAGAGCCTCGTTCCAGAGCAATCCACTCCTGGGGGAGGGGAGGCGACAGCCAGGGGCCAAGAGGAATCCGCAGCCAGGCCCTGCTGGTCCCCTTCTGCCAGGGACACCGGGCCACACCCTTCGGCCCTTTCCTTCTTCCCTCGGCCTCCCCACAGGATCTACCTTCTGCTGCTCAGCACAGGGCTTCCCCAATGGCCGGGGTGCACCTGGGGCGCAGCTCTTCTCTTAGAGAGCTCATCCAGTTTCCAGCTTTCCGCTGTCATCTCTACAGGGCCCACGCCATCGTCAATAACCCCAGCCCCTGCTACCCAGGAGAGAGACATCTGTCCTCCATCCTCAAGGATGCCATGGGTGTCTACGGGATGTTCCAGGGGCCTCAAATTCCAGGGCCTCCTTAGGGAACAGCTTTGCTTCTCTTTCTCCTGTAGACACAGACTCTTTGATAAGGGGCCCGTCTTCCCAGCCCAGACCTAAACTCTGGGGCCTGTTCCTCCAAAGGGACTCCAGGGACATCGGACTCTGCTTCTCCAGGCCACTGAGCGCCCCGCAGCCCACCTCCTACAGCCGTGCTGGCAGAAGACAGGGGCACAGCAAGAGAGAGCTGTTCTGTCTCCTCCTGGCCCTGAGGGTAAGAAGATGGAGCCGAAGCATGGAGAGCAAGGGTGCTGGGTCACAGAAGCACCCGTGGAGACTGGCTGAGGTTTCAGCCCCAGTGCAGGCGCGCGCACACACACACCCGCCATGGTGTCTGAGGACAGGTGTGCGGCAGCCCCGTCACTGATGCCAAAGCCAAGGGAACACAGCAGCGACTTCATTCACTCATTGGCTGCTCCCTTGAACACCTTCATGTTCTCTTCATCTCAGACGAGGAAAATCACCAGGTTTTATATTTGTTCTTTATCCAGAGCACATGATTCGCACTTTTTCACAGGAAGACTCTGTGGCTTTTCTAAGATTGAGAAAACAGATAAATGCCCTGTCTTGCTAACTAGGTTGGTGTTTCTCTAAGAAACGATGCTCATCTACTGTAAGTGGAACCAGTGTCCAGTTGGGCCATTCTTTCAGCCACACTTTGTTTTCTCACCTTGTAGAAAAACAAAGACTAGCAGCCGTGAGAGAGCTCCTGTGTCTGGGGAAGCGTGTCCCAGACCCTCTCACGGTGCACAGGAATGAACAGCAGTTTCTATCGCACGCACAGTGACAGAGGAGAACTACCGAGACCACGGGCGCGGAAACCACTTTAAGCATCATTCTTGTTTTACCTGCTGCTGCCTCTGTCGCCTCACTTGTGCGAACTGGGAGAGCATCAGCTGCCGATCCAGCAGCTCCATTCTTTGCTGTCTCTGGATGTCCACGGTGGCTCCCATCCCAATCCTAGCTTCGCTGGTGGGTTCTGAAGACGAGAAGATGGGCTCAAGTGTCCTAGAAAAGAACTTTGCCATCCAGCTGGGGACACGGAGCACCTGGTGAACCTGGAGCATTTTGCTATCATAGCACATTCCGGAAACCTAAAAGAAAGAGTACAACTGGATTTTCTAAATGTAAGACAATTTTAAAGACGATACTTAACACAGAACTCGGTAACTACCAAATGGTCTGGGGGGCATTTTTGCCTTAGTTTTAGCAGTGTTAGGTGAAAGCTCTAGAATACATGGCAGACAAATCAACAGAATGCTCTCTTCACTCAGGGAAATGACTGGTTTGCACTAAAGCAGGAGACGGCGATATCCTAGGGCTTAACACGTGAAGTGACAAAACACTAAGTACAAGCAGTCTTCACAAATCAATTTCCCCCCGTACTCACCGTGGTGACCACACGGCAGACAGCCAGCAGAGAGACGCTGGCTGAGGAGCTGACCTGTCACTTAATCAACTTACCAGGAAATAAAGACAACTTAAAGCCTTGGCTTTTACTTATATGGTGTTTTAATCAATTTCCCAAATATTGATTTTTCCAAGTTTAGGTTTTTTATTTATTTAAAAGGCAGAGATACACAGAGAGAGACATATCTCCCATATGCCAGTTCACCCCTCAAATGTTCACAGCAGCCAGGGCCGGGCTGGGGCTGAGAACACTCAATCTGGGTGTCCCTCCAGGGTGGCAGGTACTTAAACCACTTGACCTATCATCTGCTGCCTCCCAGTGTGGGCATCGGCAGGGGGCTAGAGTCGGGCATGGAGCTCAGACCCAGACTCAGGCACTCTGATGCAGGATGCAGGCTATGCCTCTCACCCAATTTTTCCAGATTTTTAATTCCACATCAGTATTAGTTAACAACTAACAACTTTTTTTTCTTTTTAAAGAGTTATTTACTTGAAAGGCAGTGTTACAGAGAAGGAAGAGAGAGAGAGAGAGAGACTCGATCTCCCATCCACTGGTTCACTCCCCAAATGATCACAATAACCAGGCTAGGCCAGGCCGAAGCCAGGAGCCAGGAGTTTCTTCTGTGTCTCCCACATGGTGCGAGGGCCCAATGACCTGGGCAGGGCCATCTTCCGCTGCTTTCCTAGGCACACTAGCAGGAAGCGGGATTGGAAGCAGCCAGTTCTCAACTGGCACCTCAGACAGAGGCTGTACCCGCTATGCCACAGGCCCAATCCCCTAACAATTCTTTTTAATCCATTTATCATCTTTAAGTTATTTGTAGTAAGAAAACTCTTAAGACTCCTATGGTTTATATATCAAAATGACTGTGGCTATTCCTATGTAAAATAAACCCTTGATTCTGAGAATTTGACTCTTAGGATAAGGAGTTCGTCACACAAATCAGAGTATTTGGTAACTTTCTAATGAGAAAAATAACTTTTTTTAAATAATAAAATTTGTTAATTAGGCAAAGCTTTATCGAGCTTCTGTATCAAACTATATGAAAAGACAGGATAAACAAGATCTTACTGGAGTAACAGTGGTTAGGGTGGGTGTTTGGTCTAGTGACGAAAGACTCTCATTGGACCGCACCGGTTCAATACATGTCTCAGGAAACTGAGCTCCTGTCACCTGGGTAGGATACCTGGGTTGAGTTCCTGGCTCCTAGCTTTGGCCTTGGCCCAGTCCTAGGTTTTGTAGGAATTTGGGGAAATGAACCAGTGAATAGGAGCTTGAGTTCTCTGTCCCTTAAATAAATTTTTTTTAAATAATAGTGGTGGGCTAGTGCTGTGGCAAAGAGGGTTACAGCCATGGTCTGCAGTGCCAATATCCCATATGGGTGCCAGTTTGAGTCCTGGCTGCCCCACTTCTGATCCAGCTCCCTGCTAATGCACCCAGGATAGCAGTGGAAGATTGCCCAAGTCCTTGGGCTCCTGACCCCATATGGAAGACCCAGAAGAAGCTCTTGGCTCCTGGCTTCAGCCTGGCCTAGCCTGGTTATTGTGGTCATTTGGGGAGTGAACCAGTGGGTGGAAAATCTCTTTCTTTATGTGTTTCCTTCTCTCTCTCTCTGTAATTTTCAAATAAAATAAATCTTAAAAAAAAAAAAAAAGGAAAGTGGTCCCCATAAAGACATAAGTGAATATTTAAGATGATTTCAGACAAGTTCTAAGAAGGACACAGAGTGGCTTGGAACAGAGACCTATTCTAGGTCAGGTGGTAAGGGAAGTCCTTGGTGAAAATCTTAAGGATGATGGGGTGCCAGTGTCACTACAGGTGCCGGTGTGACACGGGCTGTCAGGGTGACTACAGGGTGCTGGTGTGACACGGCTGTCAGGGTGACTACAGGGTGCCGGTGTGACACGGGCTGTCAGGGTGACTACAGGGTGCCGGTGTGACACGGGCTGTCAGGGTGACTACAGGGTGCTGGTGTGACTATGGAGTGCAGGTGTGACACGGCTGTCAGGGTGACTACAGGGTGCCGGTGTGACATGGGCTGTCAGGGTGACTACAGGGTGCTGGTGTGACTATGGAGTGCAGGTGTGACACGGCTGTCAGGGTGACTACAGGGTGCCGGTGTGACTATGGAGTGCAGGTGTGACTACAGGGTGTCAGTGTGACATGGTTCGTCAGTGTGATTCCAGGGTACTGGAGTGACTACGGGCTGTCAGAGTGACTACAGGGTACTGGTGAGACTATGAGTGCTGGAGTGATCATGGGATGTCAGTGTGACTACAGGGTGCCAGTGACTCAAACTGGGAAGAACATGTCAGGCAGAGAACACAGCGAGAGCTCAGGCAGGAATGAGCTTGGAGGCACTTACTACACGTCTCAGCGGTGCTACCAAGTGGGCGGTTGGATCTACGAATCCAGAGCTCCAGGGACAAGTTAGGCAGAGGTGAGGATTTCAGACTCCCTGGATATCCCCTGGCATGCAATTGGACTAAGGGGTGAACCCAGAAGCGCAGTAATACTTTGGGAATACACAGAGTAGGGGATATCAGCAAAGGAAATCTGAGACGAGGTTGCCAGGAAAGAGAAGGGAAACAAGGATTCTGTACCACTGAAGTGACGAGAAGAGGGCTTGGAGACGGGACTGGGTAGCTATGCCAGCACAGGAGACAGCTAAGTGCGACACACAGAAGTGAGCACTGGAGATGCCCCGATGGCAATGCTTTTGGTGTAGTGTAGGAACAAAGACCACCTGGATGCCATAGGCTAAACACTGAATGGTGGAGGGCTTTTGGTTCTCTCAAAAATGGCACAAAGCAACAATGAAAAAATGAAGCCAGAGGCAAGCTCCCATCTGGTGAAATCAGGAAGCATCTGTAATCCTGAACACCACCAAGTGGAAAGCCTGCTGCTGACAGGTGAGCCTGTTAGGGGCCCGTGGACACAGGTGAAGGACAAGGAAGGCAGGAGGGAAGTGGACAGTTACTTCACTCCCTGTAAGAAGCACCCTGATTCCTCCCACAGTGAGCACAGCCTCCCATTTACCCTCCCTCTCCTCTGCAGAGAGAAGGCAAATGCCCGCTGGGGCAGGGGCTCTTGAGCACAGCAGGCACAAAGGGATGGCTGCTCAGTAGAGTCTGCACAGATTCTAAGCACACCTCAGGGGAGCTCCAGCAGAAGACAGAGGGAATGTGGGGCAGAAAGGGACCACACTTAGATATGACGGCTCAGAATTTTCCAGAATTAATAAAGAATATATATATATATTTTAAAAAGATTCATTTAATTGAAAGGCAGAGTTACAGAGAAAGAGAGAGAAGGACAGATAGGGAGATCTACTATTCACAGGCTCACTCCCCAAGTGGCTACAACAGCCAGGGCCAGGCCAGGCCTAAGCCAGGAGCCAGGAGCCAGGAGCTTCTTCTGGGTCTCCCACGTGGGTGCAGGGGCCCAAGCAGGGCCATCTTCCACTGCTTTCCCAGGCCTTTAGCAAGGAACTGGATAAGAAGTGGAGCAGCTGGGACTTGAACTGGTGCTGGTATGGGATGCCAGTGTAGCAAGTTGTAGCTTTACCCACGTCAGCACAATGCTGGCACCCAAGAATATAAATCTTTATATTCTTTTTGAAAATGCAAAAGTCCCAAGAAGGTTAATAAAATGAAAATTACATCTAGACCCATTGTAGTGCAACAAAAGAAAGAAATCCTTAATAGCAACCAGAGATAAAATACAGATGGCTTGGAAAGCAAAAACAATTAACCACTAGCAGATAACTGCAGCAGAAACTGTAAGATACTTGGAATAAATCCAACAAAAAATATGTAAGGCCTTGAGAGAGAACGCTTAAAGAGTACAGTAAGGAACACTTCTTACAAAACCAACCCAGTTAATAAGAAAGGAATCACATCCAGGATTGGGAAGATTCAAAGTGGATAAGGTGCCAATTTTCACCTCAACATATTTTAAAATAAAAGCTTAACAAGGTGTCTTGTGGAAACACAAATGCTGGTTCTCGTATTTCTACGGGGTATTCAAGGTTTCACTGTTAAAGCGCACGCTGGCAGAAAGGGGCTGGATGTAGAAGGCGGCGCATGCTGTGATTCCGATTCCTTCAGGCCTGGACTGCGGCACACACCACGTGGGAAACCAGGGAAGCAAAGCACACCGGTGACAGCCCCGCGCTGGGAGCAGCTCTGGAACAAAGGAAGGCAGGACACCAAGGGCTCCGGGCTGGTGGGCCTGGGCTGGAGCTGTGGTGGATTTATGGGTATTTACTTAACAGGGATTTGTGTGGCCATCAAAGCATTTATGGTTTAAGATTCAGGGTTGGGAACCTTTTCTCTGTCAATGCCATTTGGATTTTATTTATTTATTTTTTTACATTTTAAGTTTTTATTTAGTGTAAAAGATGCATAGGAGAGGGAGGGCTTTATCTAAGACAGAGGGGGGTCTAGGTTCATATTGACTACCAGGAACCAGCCACGTGGAAGAGCATCTAGGCCAGGAAGCATAGGGCAGGTTGGCCCAAAGGCGAATGCACCCTGGAGTCGCAGGGCTACAGCCAGCACCCTACTGGCAAGAGGCCAGGGAAAAGAAGAGAAAGGAGGAAATGGCCAGACACACCACTCAAAGAGGAGTGGGTAATTAACAGGTAGGGGCATGAGGTCACACAAGGGCATGGTGAAGGCATGGTGAAGGCATGGCATTCGAGCTCACAAACCTAGTCAATTTTAACCTGTATGCCTGTCTACTTCATTCCTCCCTCAGAGACCCCATCGCCTTAATCCTAAGGGGAGTTGATGGACATAGAATCATCTCTTCTGTAACTGCTTCCTGCTTATGAGGGGTGTTAGGAATAATCAGTTAATAATTAGAATAATAATAATAATAATCAGAATAATCAGGTATGTCTTTCGCATTCACCTGTGAAGACCTTAGAAGTAAGTCCGTAGGAATGCATGCAGAGCTATACAGCTTCACAGTCTCTCTGTAGGACCAAGGAATATAAACCACCCAGTCTGAGAAACACCATTCCAGACTGTTAAAATCCGCTCAGAAGCGAAAATATCAAACTAACATAATAAAATCCTGCACAGAGGCGAAAATAACAGACCAACATCATAAAATCCCGCTCAGAGGTGAAAATAACAAACTAACATAATAAAAACATGATTTACTATACATCACTCTATTAATCAGGCAGGTAGCATGTGGTAGGCCATGGGGGCCACCATCTTGGGGTGGAGTCTGTTCGCAATTTGGATTTTTATAACATCATTCATGGGCCATTTGAAATGATCAACTAAGAAATTAACCTGCTATTCATTTACTGAATTTCAAGTCCCTGTGGTTGTCTGGGCAGGGCAAGGCCACATGATTCTGTGGTCTTATATGGCAAGTGCATGATGGAATGTGTTCTATATCACAATAAAAGCAGTGCAAACAATAAAGAAACCAAGGATCCAGAACAGCTGTGGTAATGTCAGGGCGCATAATGAGGCCTCTGAGATTGAAGACACGCTCTGAAATTTGGGTAATTCAACAGTAAGCTCCTTTCATAGGGTTACTCACAGAGACCAGGAGAGGAGGACACTAGAAACAGACTTCTGACTGCAAGGGTGCTTGGGAAAAAGCACACTGGTGAGGTGTGGGCAGAGGTGTGTGGGGGGGTGTGTTATGGGGGGTGCACCAGCCACAACCTAAGATGATGACAAAATAGGTCCCCATTCCCGACACCACACATAAACTTCCACTGGATAAACACACAAATATAATTCATAAAACTGTGAATCTTTCTGCACAAAATATAGAGGAACACCTTTTTGGAAGGAAGAAGGATTCTTAAATAAGAAACACAAAGCACAAACTATAGAAGAAAACTTACACTTAGCTAGTTTATCATTTAAAAGCTACAGAATGCCACAATGAAGTGAGAAGGTAGGAAAGAGCCCGGAGAAGAACTCAGGATCACAGATTAGAATCTATGGCTGCAACACAGGCAACATTCAGAATTTTGTAAGAAAAAGACAATTACTCCAAACGAAAAGCTCATAAAAAGGCCATTTCAGAAGAAATCCAAATGGCTAGCAAAAGAAAAGATGCTATCCTCACCTGCTCTTAGGGAACTCCACCTGAAAAGAATATTCATCTAACAGCTGGTAAAAAGCAGAGCGTATGCTATCATTCACATTTGGTGAGGCCGAGGAGGTGAGTGGTTCAGCACCTCCACCCAGCCCCTGCAGAGCCGGCTGGCAATTCCTGGCAGAGCTGAGTGTGCTTTGATTCTACGCATTTCCAGAAGAGACTAAGCTGAACAGTGGGTTATCCACAAAACATAGTATCATCCAGCCCTTCAAACAAACATGAGGAGGTCTCCAAAAATTCTTGTAAAACATGTATTATGAAAAATACTAGGCAAAGTTGATTTTTTTTTTCAATGAGAGACACACACGAAGAGGAGAGAGAGGGGAGAGAGAGAGAGAGAGAGAGAGAGAGAAAGAAAGGGAGCTTCCATCTGTTGGTTTACTACTCAAATGCCTGCAAAGGTTGGGACCTGGCTGGGGCCAAAGCAGAGGCAAGAGGTTTCCCATGTGTGTCTCAGGAACTCAATTACTTGAGCCGCCGCCTTCCAGGGTTTGTGACGGCAGGAAGCTGGAGTCGGCAGTCAAATCTGGGAACTGAAATTGGGCACTCCGATTTGGGACGTGGACATCTTAACTGCTGGGGTAAATGACTGCTGTCCCTCACAGATTTTTTTCCCAGCAATGAGCCTGGAGACCATTTAGTTCAGTTTCTGTAGTTTACAGTGAGGCAGAGGCCCAGAGACTTTGGGGATTCACTGCTCTTTCTTCTGTTTGGCAATGTTCCTCTCTACTGTAGAGTTTAAAGGAACCTCCTGATATCACTGAGAGGCCATTTTTATGGAACCCTGGAGTGAACAGGCTTCTGAGGCCACAGAGTTACAAATTCCTACCAGACACTCATGTGTGGGACATGACTGTCTTAACTGGCGGCCTAACTGCTAGGCCAAAGGCCCATCCCCAAATTATCTTTTAATTCTGTTTTCCATGAACATTCTGACATACCCTTGCACACCTGATGGATATGTATCAGTGTGTTTAAAGCTGAATGAGATTATGCACAAAAGGTATCATATATTGAACTTATCCTTCTGTAAACATCCGCTGTTATTGGACACATTCATACGTAGTTAGTACAGGATCACAGAAAGCAGTTGTGTTAGGCAGGAAGTTAGAAATTAGCCTATGTGTGTGAGAGGGTCTTATAGGACACCCGTATCTACACAAGCCCAGCATCTACACTCGAAAGTCCTGCCCCGACCTTGGTAACTTTACAGGTGGTCCCAGCCTTTCCCCCAAGGAAAGCTCCTGGGAGAACTCTCTCTTTCCAGGACCAAATGGGTTTACCTGGCCTGATAACATGGGCAATAAAACCTTCACAGATGCCCTAGGGGGAAGCTCCTTTGCCCCCCTCCCACAGGGCTCCCCAAATGAGAGAAGGAATTTCCTAATTTATACTCAGCAAACCCTTCATCCTGGAGGAGAAGGGGGAGGAGGTAAAGAGACACTCCCTCAAAAACCTGGAGTCTGAACAAAGAATGTGAGCTCCGCTCTCTCAGCTCTCCGCTGAGCTGCCCACCAGGCCTGCCAGGTGTATTCTCTCCATTCAACCATGTGATTTGTTTTCCCCTAGCTGAGTGGGCACGCTCTGTCCCCTCCATTCTGACAGATGCCCTGTCCCCACTAAAACCTTGATACCTTGCTACCTTGCTCTCTCACACCTGAATTCTTTGTTGTGTGAACACAAGAACCCCATGATTTCTCTCCAATGACAGTTTCCTCTACAGTGGGTGACATGGAAGGGGGACTTGGGGGGCACTATCTATAACACACACATTTTTTAAACAAAGGGATATATGAAGTAAATATGGTAAAATGCATAATGAATTGTAAGCAAGGAGCAGAAATCCCCTTTCTGAAGATTTGGTAAGAAGGAAAACAGAAAATAGGATGTGTAATAGCAGAATTACCTGGATTTAGCTGAAGACAGGAAAATGATATTAAAGTATGACAAAATCAAACTAGAACTAGGACATTAGAATCAAGGAAAGAAAAATATTTTTATTTACCCATTTCCCCAGTTCATGTGAAAATGGACTCTTTCATGCTAACAAGCTCACACACAGGAGTCTGCTCCTGCAATACTGACAGGCCATCTCAGCTTTCTTATGCTCCCTGAGGCAATGATGCCTCTGTCTCTCGACTTCTTATCTTTTTTGTGTCATTGTATTGAAACTGTGTCTTGTAGATAACATATCTTTCTTTCAAGTCCAATAAGACAATGTCAGCCTTTGGACAGCAGTGTTTAGCTAGCCACTTAATGTATTTATGCAAAGATGAGTGGAATGGCTTCTTGTCTTCAAGGAAGAAAGAATTCAGATGCGCACATGCAAGAGAGCAGTGGTAAGCAAAGTAGCAAGGTTTTATGGAGTAGGGTGTCTATCAGAACAGATGGGCACCTCTGCCTGGGCATTCAGACTGGGGAAAGCAAGGTTACATGGTTTAATGAACAGAATACACTTGGCCGGCCAGGCAGGTGTCTCAGGAAGGAGCCGAGAGCTGAGCGTGCAGTCTATAAGGGAATAGGATCCATTTCTTCCAGCATTTCTCCTTCCTTCCTCCCTCTTCTTCAGGACAAAGGGTTTGCTGAGTGTGAACTAGGTGAAATTCCTCCCCAGGCTTTATTCCCAGCGTTACCAGCCTGGGGAGCCCACTTGGCCCTGGGCAGGGAGGATTCTCTGAGGGAAGGCTGGAACCACCTGTAAAGTTCCTGGGGAATGGGTGGACTCTGTAGTATTCAACACTGGACTGCTTCCAAGGCTGCTACATTCCTTTTTGAAGAAATTTTTGTTTTCCTCAGGCCCTTCACACACACAGATGCTAATTTCTAACTTCTACCCAACATGTGCATCTGGTCACGACTGGATCAAAGTCGGATCATGCTATTTGGTTGCCAGTTGCCACACCTGTAGTTGTTCTTTTCTCATATTCTTTTGTGTTAACTCCAAATGTTTTTTAGTATCTCATTTTTACAATTTACTTATTTATTGGCTATATATCATTTTCCCCTCAAATTTGCCCTAGGAATTACAATCTGCATCTTAATTTATCACAATTTGCTGAGTTAATACTGAAATTCATTCAAGTACAACATAGTCATGCTAGCATCTTCCCTACCCACTGTGCTACTTTTGTCTTACGCAGCATACCTACATACCTTATAAAACCAGCAGATTAACAAACTGAGAAGTTAAGAGAAAAAATCATGACAATGTGTAGGTGTTGCCTATACTCAGGGAGTTCACAATTTAGGAGGGGTTCTACATTTCCATGTGGGAAGAGAGGAACTGACAGAGGTCAAAGATCCTCACTCTCCTGCCCATGCCTATCAGTACCTTCACTATTAGGTAAACACTCACAGAATTGTGTTTTCCATCTCAGTGGAGCATCCTATGAATAACCAGGAAATCATGCCCGGTAGTAAACCAACACAATAGTGCAAATCCTGGCAGGGATGAAACACGCCTTTGGTGCTCCCATGTTTCAATTTCTATCCTATCACTACCGCAGCCTGTGTGCCTACAGCAAACACTCTAAGTATTTATTGGGTGAATAGTCAACGGGTAGGTACTCCACAATAATATATTGTCTTATGTTAGGAAAATGGTGCAGCTTTATCTATGGCGCGATCTACACCCTGACACCACCCTAGGCTCTAGCGCCCACTGCCGTTGCTGGAAGCCAGGTGGCTACAGGGCCCAACCACCAGTGTCAAGCTCCACCCTCATCCTAATGGGATAGCTGCTCCTGCTCTGCCTGCCCTTCCGCGAAGTTTTAAAAGGACCTGTTCCTGAACACAGGCTCTCCTCTCTTGCTCCCCTGCTGCTCGCTCTCCTCTGCTTGCTCCTCTCTCTCTCTCTCTCTTCCTCTCCACCTCCTGACCTCCATCTCTGTCTTTCTTTTTTTTTTTAATGAAATAGAACTTTATTTGCAAATCACTACTTTCATAGATTATTATTTTTAGCTATTACTATGATTTGTATAACTTTTACATATAATTTTGAAAAATAACAAAAGCTAAAGAAATATGTGTAATACTTCAAAACTGCTCTAAATGTCCCTTTTTGACGCTTGTCTTGTAGTTAGTTTGACATTTTGTAGTTAGTGATTCCAAGTTGCCTTAGTTGAGCTACCTCATTCTTCACTTCCTGTAAACCATTGCATGGATTTGTCTTCCTTCATGAAATTGGTTTCATTTCCTTTGTTTGATGGATGGTCATTGGCTCCTCACAGCATCGCCTGCTTACAATAGCCCTATAGTCAATTCTATCCCAGAGCTGGTCCCTTAACTTTAAGAAATTAGGGAACAATTTTCTCCAGTTTTTCCCTAAAGCCCAGGGAAAAATTTCATACTTGGACTCTTCTTCATCTTCTTCAACTGTGTTAGCCAGGTACAAAGCAATAAAGAAATTTATCCTGGTATGTTCATTTATAGCAAATTTAGCCCTCTTGAAATAAACAAAGGTCATAGCCAAAAGATACTTGTCTGCAATTTTACAGCAGCAGTCCATCCACAAGAAATCTTGAATTAAATCGTCATCAAATAATTTAAAGAAAGCAGTCATTTCCTGACGCCGTATAACTAGGCAAGGACCTTTGGGACGTTTAGATTTGTTGTTATTATGTGCATTTTTTTCAGATGCTTGCCAACTATCTTTAAAAATAGGACGCTTCAGATTAATGGATTTTTTGGGTAGATGTGATCTACTTGGTCCTGATTTTACATGAATAGTGACAGTAGGTGGTGTCTCACAACACATCTGATTGTGCCTCATATTGGTTTCCCAAGAATCTGGCTCCTGGCTTCGGATCAGCGTAGCTCCGGCCTTAGCGGCCATTTGCGGGGTGAACCAACGGAAGGAAGACCTTTCTCTGTGTCTCTCTCCCTCACTGTCTAACTAAGCACCCGGGACTGCGTGAAAAGCCCCGCGGCCGTCAGCCTCTACCACAGTGTTCCGGGCCTCAGATGGTTGCTCTCTCCATCTCTGTCTTTCTTACACTCTCCTCTCCCTTCCTTCCTTGCCCCTTCCCTCCAGCCTGCTGGGTTTTCCCCAATAAACTCTTTCCCTTACTCTGGTGTTTGGTGTGTTTTGTGATGATCTTACACCTTAGACCTTTTTGTTTTTTAATTTTTAAAAAGGTTTATCTTTATTTATTTGAAAGACAGAGTTACAGAGAAAGGTAGAGACAGAGAGAGAGGTCTTCCACCTGCTGGTTCACTCCCCAAATGGCTGCAATGGCTGGAGCTGAGCCAATCTGAAGCCAGGAGCCAGGAACTTCTTCCAGGTCTCCCACATGGGTGCAGGGGCCCAAGGACTTGGGCCATGTTCCACTGCTTTCCCAGGCCATAGTAGAGAGCTGGATCAGAAGTGGAGCAGCTAGGACTGTTCCAGCACCCATATGGGATGCCGGCACTTTAGGCCAGAGCTTTAACTCACTGCGCCACAGCGCTGGTCCCTGCCTTAGACCCTTTAAAAAAGTTGCCACTAGACACACTTTTCTGGGTCCCATATTCATACTTCCCCACATGCCTCTGGCACCCCAAGATGATCTCAAATAAACAAAGTCCTTTTTAAAAATGCTTCAGATATTCACAAATGATTAAAATACAAAGAGCCCAAGTTTCCTACAAATATTTGATAACTATATACCACCCTAGACTATGATGAGATAAGATAAGAATAACTGCATTAACTGTTGAAATCTTTACTTAGTATGGAGTTGGTCTTCTGTATATAAAGATAATTAAAAATGAATCTTAATGAAGAATGGGATGGGAGAGGGAGTAGGAGGTGGGACAGTCTGGGGGTGGGAGGGCAGGTATGGGGGGGAAGAACCGCTATAATCCAAAATTTGTACTTATGAAATTTATATTTATTAAATAAAAGCTTTGTATAAAAGTAACTACATTAACTTTTACCTAATCACTACCAAAAATTTTGATTAATATAATCACTATATTAATATTTGCATATTAATTTTAACTTTAATTTTCATTATCTCAGAAACCCTTCTAACGAGACAGTTTTCTTGAAACTCATAGAGCTTGTTAAAAATAGGCTTTAAAGACAGACTGCATGCTTGGATTTGCATGTCAACAGGCCCAGGGAGACAAAGGAAGGGGTGGGGAGGCCCTTTGGGCTGGGGAAGCCCAAGATCAAACTGAGGGGCCACTGATAGAGATGGAAGCAGTAGAAGATCAGATAAGGCTAAAGGAAACACAGGGTGTATATACCAGAGGACCAGCTGGACAGCTAGAAGTACCGGAACACTTGGGCCAAGAAGCAGGAACCCCAGCTAGGAGAGGGACACAGAGGTCAGGCAACCAGAGGACGGTCAGGCAACCAGAGGACGTTCCGGCCCATGTCTACTCCAGGTTTAGGCCATGGCTCCAGGTTAAGGGGAGAAGTTCCCCAGGGGCCAACAGTGGGGCGAAGTGATTACCTAGCAAGTCCCACCAAAAACAACAGGAACTCATTCTTTTTCAGGCCACTAAAATCCACGGACATCAGTCACACACTCAGATTTTTCATTAGCCTTTTTTGGAAGGGAATCACGAACGAATAAAGAAAAAGGAATAAAGAATTTAATCGTCTGGGTGGAAAACATGTGAAGCACTCGATTACAGAGAGTAACCTCCACTGTCCTCTGGCCTTATTTAGTACAAGCCCGAAACCAAGACAGGCCAAGGTGAGAAACCACGACCTGGCGATGACACCCAGGTGCTGATCTTCTCCAGCCAACTGTGGCTGAACAAAAACCCACCCAGCTGCTTTGCCAGAGTCCCGATGGCCGATGACGTTCAAGAAGCCTCCCTTCTACTGAGACGCAGGAATGGCACTGCCTTTGCATGGCAGGGACAAGCCAAAGGGACAAATGCGCCTTTGCATCTGGACCCCAGTTAACAGACTTTGTGTGCACTCAAGGCCCCAGGAAACCAGACTCACAGAGGCCTCATTTATTCATTCAACAAATATTTACTGAACACTGTTATGTGCCAGGCTGCACTCTTAACACTGGAACACTGGAACTGCCCTAAAGGACCTTACATTTTCCTATTCCTTCCTCTACACTGAAAATGCTAAAGAAAGAGGGAATTTTGGAAATTCCTTAATGTATTACCCAAAGAATACACATGCAAATTAGGGATGCCTGAAGTTATTTTGGTCATTTGTGATTAATTCTGAAAACGTTCTTTTCAAGACAGAACCTCGTGGCTTTGGCAGTTACTGCAAGAGTCCTATTGATTTACCCTTACAGTGGAAAATGATGCCTATTGAATGCTCTTCCATCTTTCCATGAGGGAATGGAATTGTTAGGCAGGAAGTTAGGTATGAGTTTATGTGTGTGTGACAAAGGCCTCCAGAGAAGACTTCTACATCCAGCATATGCACCTACATCTCAAAGTTATCCCGATAATGCTTCAGGGGCAGCCCAGTGTTCGCATCCTGACCTGCCCCCTTCTACCTGATAACCTGCCAGGCGGAGATCCCTGCCCCTTCTGCCTGACAAATCTTCCACAAACTCCAAGATGCAGCCCAGTATCTGCATTTCAAACACCCTGCTCTGGATCCCCATTCTCTAGGGGGTCCTGCTCATCCTTCCTCTAAACCCAGGATGGCGCCAGCCAGGCTTCCTCCTGTCTGATACCCTCAAGGGAAAACTCAGATAGGAGCTTCTTAGTATTTACAGCCATAAAATCCTTTGTTTCAGGAGGAGATGTGTGAAGACAGAGACCCATCTCCTTAAAAACCCCCGGCCTCAACCGGACCGCTCGCTCAGCCCTCTGCCTCTCTGCTGAGCTGCCTGCCTGGCCTGGTCAGGTGTAATCTCTCCACTCAATCATGTAACCTCGCTCCCCCCCCCCCCCCCAGTCTCTCAGGCTCTATCTGGAGGGGTGCCCATCCATCCTTACGATGTCCCTTCCCTAATAAACCTTGCTATTTTACCTCCCACTACTCTGTCTCACGCCTGAATTCTTTCTTGCGCGAAGACAAGAACTCTGCAATTTCTCCTGTAACAGAATGACATTAACCTAAAGACTTGGAGGCATTCAACAAAAAACAAACGAACAAAAATACCCTGAATATCCTTTTGGTTCTTTGGGAAACTAATTTGGAAGAGGATCAGAATTAGACTGATTGGGATTTGTTGTAACAAATGGCCCTTTAAAAAAAAGTTCATTTTTGCTTATTTATTTGAAAGGGAGCGTGACAAGATGTCGCTCCCCGTCTTCGTGGAGGAACGACACAGGACCCTGCGCTGTTCTTTCGTCTGCTCGGCCCTCCCCGGGTTTGCTGCTGGTTCTTCCCGGGTTGGCTACCGTCCCTACCACCTCCGTGGAAGGGCGGTTCCCCCTAGCCACTTTCCCCACTTCCACGGGGGAGCGGCACACCGCCAGCCGGCTCTCTCGGGGGCTGCTCAGATGTTCCCCTTAGATGTTCCTGGTGCATGTTGTCTCTCTCCTCCTTTATAGTCCTCTTCCACCAATCCCAACTCTGCTACCCACACACCGAGTACGCTGCTCTCCTCCAATCAGGAGCAGGTCCTGCTGTTTATTGGTTGAACTGGAGGCAGCTGTGTAGAAGCTGTTTCCTCCTCTCCCAGCGCCATATTGTGGGAGAGCAGATGCATAGAATAAGTCTTAATTCCAGTAACTTAGTCTAGTCCGAGTTGCTCCCAGTTGCTCCCCACAACAAGAGAAGGAGAGGGAGGGAGATAGGAACAGAGAGATCTTTCAGCCATTGGTTCATTCCCCAAATTCCACAATGGCAGGGCTGGGGAAGGCTGAAGCCAGGAGCCAGGAATTTCACCATGGTCTCCCACATGGTTGGCAGGAACTCAAGTACTTGAGCCATCCTCTGCTGCCTACAAGCTCATGAGCAGGAAGCTGGACTGGAAGCAGAGGTAGGACTTGAACTCAGGCACTCCAACATGGATGCATGCATCCCAAGGGACAGTTTAACCTACTGTGCCACAATGCCCAACCCATAAAAATCATCTTAGAAAGGGGTTCTTAGTTTTCCTTTTTAAAAATTCATATATTAGGAGGATTGAGTCAACTGAGCCAAGTACAAAACCTCAAACAACAGAGGCTTAAATAGGGCATTTCTCTCTCCTGTTAGAAGGGCTTCAACCATCTTAACTGCATTAGGTAGCAGGAAGAAGCAAGTAAGGAAAGACTAAAGCACCAAAGGCTACTTAGGAAGCCTTCCCAGAAGTCCCCGCACAGTGTTCACAGCTTCCTGGCCAGGCTGCCAGGATCTTGTCCAATGTCTAAGATGCAAGGGAGGCTGGGAAATGTGACCTTTGAGTTGGAGAGCTGACTGCCTGAAATAAAACAAAGTTTCTGTTTCTAGGACGAACACACATTGGGAGGTAATTAGTGACTCTAAGCACACAGAGTCTTAATTAGATGCTTAACTGCAAATATATTTTAACTTCCCTTCTAACAAGAAGACCCTTTAAAAAATTACATCCATTTTCATAAACTGGTTCAACAAAGTAAAAACTCAGAGAAATACGAGCTTATGCTGAAAACAATAAAATGAATGTGAAGCTCTAAAAAGATTTACGGACTTATAGACATAGACTCAAGGGCGACAGACTCAATGTCTTCCATCTAAAGCCGGGAACATCCCATTCAGTACTTTTACTGAACGTTGTACTAGAAGTCATAGCTAGTGTAGTAAGGCAAGAGAAACAAAAGGTATAGACAGGAAAGAAAGGAAAGCATATAAACAAATCACATCATCACAAATTTAGAAAATTCCCTAGAAATCCACAGAAAAACTATAAGAAAAAAATGAAGCAAAACTGCGAGAAGTAATGGCAATACACTAAAATTGATTGTATTTGTATATACTTGTTAGTTATTTGTTGTTACAAACAACTGGGAAAAGTTATAAAAACAATTTCATTTATAAATCTTCAAAAAAACAGAATTACTTACGAATACATTAAATGAAAGATG